GTTAAGTTCAGTGAATCTGATTTCTTTCCCGTGAGTCTTCTTTTATGTTGAGGTCTTTGATCCATTGGACCTGAGTTCTATACAAGATGATGATTATAGATCTATTTGCATTCTTCTACATGCAGATGTCCAATGAGATCAGTACCATTTGTAGACTATGGTTTCTTTTTCCCATTGTGTCTCTCTGGTGTTTATCAAAATTCAGGTGTCCATAGGTGTGTGGATTTATGTCTGGGTCTTCCATTAGATTCCATTGATCAATCTATCTATTTTTATGCTAATACCTTATGGGTTTTGCTACTATAGTTCTGTAATAGAGTTTTAAATCAGAGATGGTGTTACCTCCAGCAGTTCTTTTATTGTACACTATTGTTTTACCTATCTCAGGCTTTTGCTTTGTCATAAAATTGAGTCTTGTCCTTTCAACTCTGTAAAGGGTGGAATTTTGATGAAATTTTGACATGGATTGCACTGAATCTGTAGATTACTTTGGTAAAATGGCCATGTTTTCCTATGTTGAACGTACTGACCCATGAACATGAGAAATCTTTGCATCTTCTTATATAGTCTTAATTTCTTTCTTCAAATACTTGAAGTTTATGCTAAGCAAGTCTTTCATTTGCTTATTTATGGTTAACACAAAAGATTTTATATTTTTTATGATTATTGTGAAGGGTGTTGTTTCCCTGATTTCTTTCTCAAACACTTTGTAATTTGTAAAGAAGACTTAATTTTTTAATGAAACTTGTATCTAGCCATTGCTGAAGAGGTTTATCAGCTGTAGGAGTTCCCTGGTAGAATTTTGGGGTCAATTCTGTATACTGTCATATCATCTGCACATAATGATACTTTCAATAATTCCTTTCCAATATGTATGCACTTTATCTCCTTCAGTAGTCTTTTTGTTCTAGCTAGCACTTCAAGTACTATATTGAGCAATTATGGAGGAAGTGCACAACTTTGTCTTCTTCCTGAATTTAGTGAAAATTCTTTGAGTTTCTCTCCATTTACTTTAATGTTGGCTATAGGCATGATGTAAATTGACTTGTGATGAATAAGTATGTGCCTTGTATCCCTAATCTCTCTAAGACTTTTTTCATGAAGTGTATTGGATTTTGTCAAAGGAGTTTTCAGTATCCAATGAGATGATTATATACAATTTCTTTCTTTCAGTTTGTTTATATGGTGATTATATTTACTGATTTTTTTATGTTGAAACATCCCTAAATCTCTGGGATGAAGCCTACTTGATAATGATGGATGATCTTTTTGATATATTCTTGGATTCTATTTGCAAGAATTTTATTATATTTGCATCTATATTCAAAAGAGAAATTTGTCTGTTATTCTCTTTCTTTGTTGACTCTTTCTGTGATTTGGATATCAGGGTGACCATAACCTCAAAATGAATTTAGCAATTTTCCTTCAATTTCTATTGGCACTGGACTTTTTTTGGTTGGGGGAGTTTTAATGATTGCTTCTATTTCCTTAGGGGTTACAGATCTATTTAAATTGTTTATCAGATCTTGATTTAGTTTTGATAAGTTCTATCTATCAAGAAAAATATCCATTTCAATTAGATTTTCCAATTTTGTAGAGTACAGGTTGTTAAAGTATGACCTAATGATTCTTTGAATTTCCTTGGTGTCTATTGTTATGCCCTCCCTTTATAATTTCTGATTTTCTTAATTTGGGTATTCTCTCTCTGCCTTTTAATTGGTTTGGATAGTCATTTATCTATCTTGTTGATTTTCTCAAAATTCCAACTCAGTTTCATTGATTCTCTGTATTCTTCTCTTTGTTTCTATTTTATTGATTTCAGTCTGCAATTTGATTATTTTTGCCATCTACTTAACAGATGTACTGTTAAGTTGCTGGTATGAGATCACTTTACTTTTTTTTTCTTTTTTCTTTATTAGGAAAATTTATACTCACTCTACATACAACCTACAGTTCGCATTTCCTCCCTCCTCCCACCCCCCAGCCATCCCTCCCAAGGCACCCCAAGGTCTGCCATAAGGCATCAGCAGAGCCGAGCACACTGAGCCTAGGCAGGTCCAAGCCCCTTACCACTGCACTGAGGCATCACATCACAGGCGTTGGACTCCCAAAAGCCTATCCATACACCAGGGACAGATCCCAATCCTCCTGCCTGAGTACCCCACAAACAGTTCAAGCCAAATAGCAATCTTCCATACCCAAAGGGCCTAGTAAAGTCCCATGGGGGCTCCACAGCCATCAGTCTAGAGTTCATGGGCTTCCATAGTGTGGCCCGTCATCTCTGCCTGTCTTCCTATCATGATCTCAATGTTCTCCACCTGCAGAATCCCGCCTCCATCTCATTGATTGGATTCCCAGACTCAGCCTGGTGTCTGGCCATGAATCTCTGCATGTACCTCCATCAGTCACTGGACAAAGCCTCTATGATGACAGTTAGGGTATTCCCTAGACTGGTCATCAGAGTAGACCAGTCCAGGAACCCTCTGGAACACTGCCACCAGGCCAAGGTGGGGTCATCCTTGTGGCTTCCTGAGAGCCACTCCAACTCCCTGCCTCTTCCCATTCCCATGATGTCCTCATGTATCATGGTATCTTCCTCCCTGACCTTCCACTCTGTCCCTGTTCCAGCTCAACCCTCCCATTTCCCTATGTTCACATCCCCCACTCCTCACCCTTCACCACCCCCACCACTCTGCCAGTCCACTCATTTAGATCTCATCCACTTTTTGTTTGCTGGGCCATTCATGTGTCCCTCCTAGGGTCTTTCCCTGTTAGCTGGCCTCTCTGGAGTTGTGGATTGCAGTCTGGCCATCCCTTCCTGCATATCTATAATCCTCTTATGAGTGAGCACATACTATGTTTGTCCTTCTGAGTCTGGGTTACCTCACTCAGGGTGATGTTTTCAAGCTCCATCCACTTGCCTGCAAATTTAATGACATCATTGTTTTGTTTTCATTTGGTTTGCTTTGGTTTGGTATTTTGCTTTTGTTTTTGTTATTTTGGTTTTTCGAGACAGGGCTTCTCTATGTAGCTTTGTGCCTTTCCTGGATCTCGCTCTGTAGACCAGGCTGGCCTCGAACTCACAAAGATCTGCCTGCCTCTGCCTCCCAAGGTCTGGGATTAAAGGCATGTGCCACCATTTACTGGTGTTATTGTTGTGGATATTGTTCTATATAAATAAAATCCTGATGGCCAGTGACCAGGCAGGAAGTAGGTTGCCAGGCAGGAAGTAGGTGGGACAAGGATAGAGGAGAATTCTGGGAAGCAGAAGGCTGAGGGGGGAGACACTGCAGCCACCGCCAGGAGAAACAGCATGTAAAGATGCCATTAAGCCACCAGCCACGTGGCAAGGTATAGATTTAT